AATCAGGTTTGCTGAAGCAGAGACGGGGTTCAGGGAGCGCTGGCCTACAGAACCCAGCAGAACCCTCACTGCTGCTTTTTCTGTGTGTGAGAACAGGAGAACATTGAGAAGAACACCCTTCAGCATCACAAGGACATTGAGAAGATTCAGAAAGACCACACACTTCGTCTGGAGGTACACACACACACACACACACACACACACACACACACACACACACACACACACACACACACACACACACACACACACACACACACATATCACGTGCCCTCCTAAACTCAGGAACATTAACTACCGAGCTGCTCTTTGAGGGTGAGTGGGGGGGCTGCAGCCATAAGGTTGAGTAGCTCATTCAGATTATTCACTCATTCACATCGAGGACGCCAGTTTTGTGATGCATCATCCGTTCATGGGCCGTTTGGTCGATTCTGGCAAAATTATTCAGCAAACTTCCTCTGATAGAGGACCCAACCCGTCATTTCCCACTGTCGTAGACGCCCGTCGTATCAGGGAGGCGTGGGCGGGGCCGGCAGCAGCTGCAGGTGGATTACCTCAGACGTCCTGTAGAGGGCGCTAAGGGAAAACTGTCTCTGCTGCCAAACGTCAGTTCAGTTGGACCTTTGACATGTGGGGCTTTAGCATGTTCGGGTTTCCTCCATCTGCCTCCCTCGTGCTCGTCTGTGGGTTCTGGCCCAGATCGTCTCTGACAGGAAGCTGGAAGGAACCAGAACCAGTCGGCTCAGTTCTTCTAGCAGCGGCGTGTTCCTAAACCCTTCCTGTGAATATAAATAAATGTGTGTAGGAGTGTTATTGTTGGTTTCTGAGCTCTAATTGAATGTGTTTCTAATTAAAGGGTAGCTGTTTCTATGGTAACGGAGAGGATTCAGCACATTAAACGATTCCCTCAACCTGATGTGATGGTTCTGTTCGTGTTTAACTGGGCCTTCCAGCGCCGGCTGCTGGTTTCAGCCCCCAAGGGGCGACGCAGGTGTTTCACCTGAGCTCAGGGCAGTCGTCGGGTCCGCGGCAACACCTGCTCCAGGTGCCATCGAACACGCTTCGGTGGGGGATGAATTATTTAGCGACTTGTTTGTTCATTTGTTTGAACACTCCTGCCGAGTGTGCAGACTCGGAGAGCAGAAGTAGGTCATCGTGTCATGTGATCACAGGTGACACCGTGGAGCAGCAGCAGCTCTCTGACGCTCCTCGTCCTCCCCCCACTGGAGTCCTGAAGTCAGCAGGGCACGGCGTGTCCCTCTGAAGTCCTTCAGAGACAAACTCCTGCTGATTGGAGTCGGTCTTATCTCCACGGTAACAGCCTGCTGCTCTCAGCTCAACCACAAAACTTAATAAGAAAAGTTAATTAATGATGGAGGAGGTCTGATTAGCAGCAGGTCGGTGCTCTGAGGAAATCTGGTTTCAGCTCGGACCGTTTAAGAGGAATCGGGTGTTTTTAGATGTGACTGGTCTCTCGCGAGGTTGTTTCAGCAGCTTCAGAACGGCTGCTCCGCGTCGTCTCCGTCCGTTACCGGGCGTAAGCCTCACATAACTAACGCAAAGCAGTTAGCCGCCATTATCGTGAAAGAGCGTGTTTCCATCCGAAGCGTTGCGTTTCGGACGTGTCCCTGCCGCGTGCTGCTGCGTCGCTCCGCTACTTTTACATTTTGAGTCCGTTTTTTACGCGCTATGCTTCCAGAACACGTCAACCTCAGCAGTCCTGATCGGGCCGGACAGGAAGTCAAACACGGAAGTGGAGTAAAATGGCCGGAGACTTTCAAAATAAGTCAGTTGCTGATTTCCAGTTGCTTAACTAGTAAAAATAAAAGCACATCATTACCTGTGAAAACGTCTGTAGCCGAGGGAAACGACAGGAAGTAAACCTTATGGAAACGGGCGGCCATCTTTATCCTTGCTTGTTGTTGCACGAACTGCTGAAATCACGCGTGATCCTGCAATTCTCCAGTTCTCCAGGGCGAAGAACGCCTAAGCTGCCGTTTCACATCTCAGCGGGAAGAGACGTGCCACCGGGCTCGTGGGTAAATAACATCGACTACGTTACGCGCTGCTTCTGCCCGGGTCGGGGTCCGCTGCCCCCCCCAGCTCGGGCGTTCCGAGGCCAGCCACGAATCTCAGTCCCTCCAGCGTGTCCTCGTGCCGTGTCTCTTAAACAAAGGTTTGTCATCAAAAGATAAGGGAGGTTTAGGCTAATGTGCCTGATTGTGACATCACAAATGGGGACTTTTTGAGACTTCCCGTTTTAGGCGGAAAATTCCTAAAACCAAACAATGTCAGAAATCAGATGGATGTTTATTTAGATGCAGCAGAGGCCGACATGGCAACAAAAACGGATGTAAAAGGTGAATTTTGCTTTCTATGTCCCCGTTAAGTCGGACGATCTGCATCCTTATGGAAACAGTCACACCTGGAAGAAACGTTCAGAGACGGGACGATTGGTAAAACGAAGGATTCCAGACGGGATCCTTCTGCTCATGTCCGTGTCCAATGGCGGCTCGTCCATAGGGGGCGCTAGGGCGCCGCCCCACCAGTATCGCACGAAGCTCAACCACAAATTTCAGACTTAATTATTAGAATTATGAGCGTTGAGGCTATTTTTATTACATCATTCTAATTTGTGTTTCTCCTGAAAAACTTTAGTTTTTGACACGTTTTTTAAACACGTTGGAGACGAACGTTTAGTCAGTATTTCTATATTATTGTTTTCTGTCTGCTTGAATTTTGCTGTTGGTTTAAAAAAACTAGGAATGTGACTCAAAATTACAACTTTTAAAGATTAATTATCATTTAAAACGTATCTGCCCATAAACCGTCATTTAGTCAGGAAAAGAAATGTGTTAACAGTACAAATGTATTCATCAGCGCCTTCCCATAACCGGCTATGGAACGCTCTTTTCTGCACAACACCTAGTAAACGGGTTTTGGTTCTTTTTAAAGGGACATTATGGAAGTGTGACAGCCAAAACATGTATAGAAATAATAAATGTCTTCTTCATACGTTCTCCTGCAATGCCCTGGTCCTGTAGAACGAGTCCTGGCATTGTTACTGCGATTGCCTGTTTTTCTGTAAAATCACAGAAAAAGAGAGATGCTCGGGTCGAGCAGGCTGCTTCATGCGCGTTCACGCTCAGGCATCGCCCGTAGCATTTGCTATCCGTAGCTTTAGCAGCAGAGAGAGAGAGGCAGTGCCACTTTGTCGCTGTTCCTAACGCCTAGTGACAAAGCTAGCTACATTTCTGAGGACCCTTAGCTACTTTCTGTAGAACTTTCTTCTAGATATTTCCTGCAAATTAGCAACAAAATAGCCATTTTAGCTCCGAACCGTTCTTTGAACGTTGTTTCAGCTGTCATCAAGGATAATAACTTTTTGCTTTCCTTGACGTTGGATGTGCTACTACTAGTTTATCCGTTTAATTATAGATCCACTAGGACAAATACAATAAAGTTTATCTTTCACCAAATAGAATATTTACTAAGACATCACAATAGAACTGTAGACACATTACTTGTCTTTGTGTGTGTGTGTGTGTGTGTGTGTGTGTGTGTGTGTGTGTGTGTGTGTGTGTGTGTGTGTGTGTGTGTGTGTGTGTGTGTGTGTGTGTGTGTGTGTGTGTGTGTGTGTGTGTGTGTGCGCGCGCGCGCGTGTGTGTGCGTGTGTGTGCGTGTGTGTGTGTGCGTGTGTGTGTGTGTGCAGGAGAAGCAGTCAGAGATGGAGGGGTTGAAGCAGGAGATGGTGGAGGTGGAGAAACGGAGAGAGGAGCACGCTGAAACCATCAGACAACTCAGACAGGTGAGGTGGTCCTTCAGAACCCAGCTGCTTCCCTCTGTCCGGTCTGGAGGCACACCTGCACAGCCTTGTAGCCCCGCCCTCACTCAGAGGGATCCTGACCTGTGTCGAAAGCATCTGTTCCCTCTTTTGTGTTGGTTTGATCGTGCCCCCTCCATCCCTATAAAGTCAAAGGTGAAGCCACCGGGTCAGAACCTTTGAGCGTTTGGACTCTAAAGCCGTAAGCAGCCAGCGGACTTATCGTTAGTTTTTATTTAGTTGTTTTTTTTCTTCCAGATAACATTTTGAGACGAAGTGAAACAGAAAAGTCGCCGGTTGTTCGGCGTGGAAGCGCGTCTGACTCTGTGTGACCAGATGTTCTGGTTCCTGTTTGTGTCTGCAGGAGATCAAAGACACGGTGGACGGTCAGAGGATCCTGGAGAAGAAGGGCAGTGCCGCGGTGAGTCCCCGGCCGCCGGATCACAGCGACACAAACGCTCTGAGAGGCATGTGAGAGCAGCCGTGCAGAAAAGCCGATCATCAGGAAGTAACCGAGTGTGTTTTTAGCTGAAGGACCTGAAGCGCCAGCTGCAGCTGGAGAGGAGACGAGCGGACAAGCTGCAGGAGAGACTCCAGGAGATCCTGACCAACAGCAAGACTCGGACAGGTAGGCTCACCTGACACCGGCTCCTGCCTTGTGTTGTGCTTCAAAACCCGGAGACAGGAGCCGGTTCTGCTCCTCGTAGCATCAGCATGTTCTGCTGAAGGTTCTCGCTCATTCATGGAGCAGGAACCCTAGTAGGCAGACACACCTGCACAGGTGGGTCTGCTTCTTTTGTTCTAGACTTTGGACCTTCTGTCTGGTCCACCTGTAGATAGTTGGTACTTATCTGGACCTGGTTCCGTGGTCCAGTTCTAAGTGTGTTTGTATTTCAGGTCTGGAGGAGCTGGTTCTGTCTGAGCTCAACAGTCCCAGTCGGACTCAGCAGACTGGAGACTCGTCCTCCGTGTCCTCCTTCTCCTACAGAGACATGATGAAGGAAGCTCAGCCAGCCAGTCAGAACAAGGTGAGTAGAACCTGATCCTCCCGAACGGAGAACCGCTGTAGGCCTTCATCTGTGTGGAGGTTCTCTTCCAGGCTGAGTTTGGGCTCGTTTCCTGTTGGCGGCGCCGCGAAGACACGTCATCCATTCTGTTTATTTAAACCGAACCTGTGTGAAAGCAACAAGTCGGGTTTGGATCAGGTCCACATGCGGACGGTTGTTAACTGTCAGGAAAGGATTTAGATTTTTATAAACTCGGTCAAACCGGTCGGCGGCGGCAGAGAGAGCAGCGTTAACGGCAGCAGCAGCAAAAGCCAACATGGAGACTAAAGCCAGCAGAGGGTGGAGATCCCAGCAGGTCCTCCATCAGTCTGACCCCACCCCACAGCAGCATAACTAAAGGGGTGAGCCAGGATTAACCAGCAGGTCCTCCATCAGTCTGACCCCACAGCAGCATAACTAAAGGGGTGAGCCTGGATTAACCAGCAGGTCCTCCATCAGTCTGACCCCACAGCAGCATAACTAAAGGGGTGAGCCAGGATTAACCAGCAGGTCCTCCATCAGTCTGACCCCACCCCACAGCAGTATAACTAAAGGGGTGAGCCTGGATTAACCAGCAGGTCCTCCATCAGTCTGACCCCACAGCAGCATAACTAAAGGGGTGAGCCTGGATTAACCAGCAGGTCCTCCATCAGTCTGACCCCACAGCAGCATAACTAAAGGGGTGAGCCTGGATTAACCAGCAGGTCCTCCATCAGTCTGACCCCACCCCACAGCAGTATAACTAAAGGGGTGAGCCAGGATTAACCAGCAGGTCCTCCATCAGTCTGACCCCACCCCACAGCAGTATAACTAAAGGGGTGAGCCAGGATTAACCAGCAGGTCCTCCATCAGTCTGACCCCACAGCAGCATAACTAAAGGGGTGAGCCTGGATTAACCAGCAGGTCCTCCATCAGTCTGACCCCACAGCAGCATAACTAAAGGGGTGAGCCAGGATTAACCAGCAGGTCCTCCATCAGTCTGACCCCACCCCACAGCAGCATAACTAAAGGGGTGAGCCTGGATTAACCAGCAGGTCCTCCATCAGTCTGACCCCACAGCAGCATAACTAAAGGGGTGAGCCTGGATTAACCAGCAGGTCCTCCATCAGTCTGACCCCACAGCAGCATAACTAAAGGGGTGAGCCAGGATTAACCAGCAGGTCCTCCATCAGTCTGACCCCACAGCAGCATAACTAAAGGGGTGAGCCTGGATTAACCAGCAGGTCCTCCATCAGTCTGACCCCACAGCAGCATAACTAAAGGGGTGAGCCAGGATTAACCAGCAGGTCCTCCATCAGTCTGACCCCACAGCAGTATAACTAAAGGGGTGAGCCTGGATTAACCAGCAGGTCCTCCATCAGTCTGACCCCACAGCAGCATAACTAAAGGGGTGAGCCAGGATTAACCAGCAGGTCCTCCATCAGTCTGACCCCACAGCAGCATAACTAAAGGGGTGAGCCAGGATTAACCAGCAGGTCCTCCATCAGTCTGACCCCACAGCAGCATAACTAAAGGGGTGAGCCTGGATTAACCAGCAGGTCCTCCATCAGTCTGACCCCACAGCAGCATAACTAAAGGGGTGAGCCAGGATTAACCAGCAGGTCCTCCATCAGTCTGACCCCACAGCAGCATAACTAAAGGGGTGAGCCAGGATTAACCAGCAGGTCCTCCATCAGTCTGACCCCACAGCAGCATAACTAAAGGGGTGAGCCAGGATTAACCAGCAGGTCCTCCATCAGTCTGACCCCACCCCACAGCAGTATAACTAAAGGGGTGAGCCTGGATTAACCAGCAGGTCCTCCATCAGTCTGACCCCACAGCAGCATAACTAAAGGGGTGAGCCTGGATTAACCAGCAGGTCCTCCATCAGTCTGACCCCACAGCAGCATAACTAAAGGGGTGAGCCAGGATTAACCAGCAGGTCCTCCATCAGTCTGACCCCACAGCAGCATAACTAAAGGGGTGAGCCAGGATTAACCAGCAGGTCCTCCATCAGTCTGACCCCACCCCACAGCAGCATAACTAAAGGGGTGAGCCTGGATTAACCAGCAGGTCCTCCATCAGTCTGACCCCACAGCAGCATAACTAAAGGGGTGAGCCTGGATTAACCAGCAGGTCCTCCATCAGTCTGACCCCACAGCAGCATAACTAAAGGGGTGAGCCTGGATTAACCAGCAGGTCCTCCATCAGTCTGACCCCACAGCAGCAGCTAACGGGGTGTCTGTCTGACAGGTGGAAACTGGATTCTGGTTCCACCGGAGAACTCAAAGCTCTGCCTCTTGTTCTACTTTTAGAACCTCTTGGAACCACGACAGATCCTGCTCTCTGAGAGCCAGGCGTTCTTCTGGGAACATTTGGAACCAGAAAACGTCTAAAAGGGGCTTGATCTTTCAGAGTGACTTTGATCTCATCAGAACTCTGGCAGCAGTGTTCTGGATCAGCTGGAACCTTTCACTGAGGTTTCCCGTCAGTACCTACCCAACGTGACATGAACTGATTGTGTCGGACTGCATTTCCTGCCATAACGAGTCCATGGTTACCGCTGACCTTTTAGTACTGAGCTGCATATTAATTGAAGTTATCCTGTGATTCTAATAATTTGACCCAATAGTAGCAATCCTAAAACAGTGTGGGACTAAGCAGTGGGCCCTGAGGAACTCCAAGAGGGCAAGAAGAAGAGTCATAATTAACAGGAACAATCCGATAAATGGGACTAAATCCAAGTCTGTTAAAATCCCAAAGAGCCGACATCTGTCTCTGTGTCCATCAGTCTGGTGGAGGGAGTCCCCAGCCTCAGCGTCCTGCTGAGCTCTTTGATGACGAGGTCGGTGAGCTCTTCCAGCGGCTTGCTGATGTCCAGCAGGAGAAATGGATGCTGGAGGAGAAGGTGAGGAGCGCTGTTGCCACGGTAACCACTACAGTTTAAATGGCTTTAGTTTGCGATGTTGCTTCTCATGAACCCTGACCTCTGAACTTCCAGGTGAAGCATCTGGAAGTGAGCTGCTCGTCCATGGCTGAAGACATCTGTAGGAAGAGTGCCATCATAGAGACGTACGTGATGGACAGTCGCAGAGGTGAGAGGTCATCGCTGACCGAGATGCACTAACGCACCCGTTCAAGTCACGACTGTAGACATGTCTGTTCACTGTTGAACACCAGGGGGCAGTCTTTCAGTCTGAACATCCAACAAGCTGCTCACTCTGCAGACTGTCAAAATAAAAGCATTGAGGCAGAAACCAACAGGTGTGGTGGAGCTGATGTTCGGACACGTTGGATTGTTAGTGAAGTTCTGTCTGGTTTTAGAGTAATGGAACGGAAACTTCAGACCCAAGAGAAACCCAGCAAAGGTTCTGGTCCCTCCACACTCGTCCTCTAGCGCTGTCGTTTCTCGTACATCAGCTGTTTTTAGGCTCCTGTTTGACTCTTCTGGTCCTCCTCTTCCTCTTCATCCATCACATCAACACCTGATGAAGGCAGCAGCAGGGAATCGGAGCTCCGTCAGATCGGTTCTGTCGGGTTGGTTCTGAGCAGCCGGCTGGGCTGGGTTTGCAGCAGTAGCTGTAGAACCACATCAGTAGATGTTGGTGCCCGTCTGTCACGCACATCCTGATACCGATCCACATGACCAGGGTTCCGGGTCCCGACCTGTTCCTCACATCAGCTCCAGAACGGGCTTTGAGACGTTTGATTGTTGTCTCTCCTCTCCTCAGATGTATCGAGCAGTGCAGTGGGAGGTCACGGAGGCGCTCAGGGAGACAGAGGAGGTCTGGGTTCGGTCCTCAGAGATCTGGTGAAGCCAGGAGACGAGAACCTGAGAGAGATGAACAAGAAGCTGCAGAACATGTTGGAGGAGCAGCTGACCAAGAACATGCACCTGCAGAAGGTAACACACACACGCACACACACACACAACTACCATATGTCTGACTCCCATCTCTCTGCAGGACCTGGAGCTGCTGTCCCAGGAATTAGTCCGACTCAGTAAGGAAAGCAACGGTGCTGCTGGATCGGGATGAGACCATCGCCTCCTGCTTGCTTCGTTTCTGCTCACACCCTCCCTGCTTTCCTGCATTCACAACCTCCTCTGAGCTCTGACTACTGCCTGGGGCTGGGAAGGGCACTGGCTGTGACTACATGCTGGATTTTGTCCATCTGTTTTGGAATGTGGTGAGGAATCAGTGAAGATGGAAAGCTTGAGGAGCAAAACTGAGAATGGAACCGAACCACCTGGAAAGAAAACCTTTCGCTGAATGTACTGTAATTAGACTGCACCATTCATTTCTGAGCACTGGCTATCATCTGGAAACTCGTCAATAAAGACGGGGAAACCTCTGCTTCTTCGTCTTAAGACGTCTGATTGTTGGGGCCTGACTATGCTCTGGATTGTGACTCACAACTGACCTCATAAATTCTTTGTGAAGTAACTGTTGTGACCTGGCGACTTCCTGGAACTTGTGTTTGAACCCGTCACCGTGACAAGTAATCAGAGGCCAGCTGATGGTGATGATGATGAAGATGGTGGTCTTGATTGAAGTCCGTTCATCTCTAATCCAATCAGTGAGCTTGTTTCTGAACTGGCATCATTCATCAGTGAAAGAACAGCCAATGATTTTAACCAAAACCTCTCTAGAAACGGTCCATTTGGTTCTGGTGGTTGGGCTGGACCGCTGTTGCCATGGTTACAGCTTCAGAATCCAGTTCCTGTTGCTTCTGATTAAAAAGAAAACAAAACCAGAAGTTTATTCTACACGGTGTGTGTGTGTGTGTGTGTGTGTGTGTGTGTGTGTGTGTGTGTGTGTGTGTGTGTGTCTTCATCACATCCGAAGAGTTCCATCACCTCAGGTCGGCTAAGGCTAATTTCTGGAGAGATGAAACAGTTTGACGGGACAGGTTTCGTCTCTGGCTAAGGTCTGGTTTCATTTCTGAGTTGGGGGTGCTTTCCCTCCAGGATCACGTTGTTGTCAGCTGATCACCAAAAGATGCAGAGAAGAAAATGTTTTGACTGCTTGACTCCTTCCTCTAGGCTCTGTCTACTTCCTGCTTGAATATTAATTTTAATTGAGTGAAGTCCTGAGTTTTAGACAGAAAAATGGAAACAACTACTTGTTTTTTTCTTGGCCGTTTTGTTTGTCTCGTGGCTATGGGTAAGTCCTGGAAAACACCCTGCACCTGCTGATGAGACTGACTAAGTCCTGGACTGGACAGGACTTTCTACTTCACACTTCAAACCTTCACAGAGAAACTCGACTCGTTTTTCGAGTCACTTCTGAGGAAAAAACTCTAAATAAAAGTGATTTTGTGTTTAATCCGGTTTTCTTGTCGTTCAGCTGCTCTGAGAGCTGTAATGTTTGTGTACATCAACACTGTGTCATGTGACTAAACAGCTGATTTATTTATGTCTGATGATCCGAACGCTAATCATGAATAAAACTGAAGACGACGGCGTGTTTCTGTTTCAAAAACTTGGAGAAACTTGCTTTTCCAGAATAAAAGTTGCGTTGAAGGTCGGGTGACTGGAGGCGTGCCTCGCTCACTGGTAATTAACCGCCTGGCACTTCCTGTCCTGCGAAGATGGTGGGGGGGGGGGATTAAAGAGGTGTTAACTCATAACTGGAGGGGTCACCCTAACGAGATAGCGCCTGATTGGCCGGTCAGAGGCTAATTAAAGAGGCAGAAGTTGTCTCGTTTAATTTTAATTTAAAAAAATCCTCAGAGGATTCAGACTAAAGCTGATTTTCTTCATAGTTTCTGTTCAGAAGCGTCAACTTTTCCCTCTCCAGAACATAAAAGACCCTTTTACATGAAGCAGACACGATGCCTTCAGGAAACGGATTCATTAGTGTTTTATTATCATTACACTGTTGGTTCATTCCCTCAGGACTAACTGGACCTCCAAAATAAAAGCCTGTGATGTTCTATTGAGGCTCAGCCCATTCTGTGGGCCCTAAACTAGAGCGGGTTGACATTAGAACGATGATCCGTCTGTCCACTCGTGTCCTCACAAGTGCAGATGTGCAGACGTGTGATGATGATGTAACGGTCCGGGAAGCCATTGGGTTGCCACGGAGATCCCGACAAGTCAGATGGAGGCGAGGAGGAGAGACTGGAGGAAGTTTTAAAAATTCACGAGTTTTCTGCAGCAGCAGGCAGCTAAATATAGTGTGTGTGTGTGTGTGTGTGTGTGTGTGTGTGTGTGTGTGTGTGTGTGTTCCTCAGTACTTACCTTATGGGACTGGTACACACACTCATGGAAACAAACAGATTGGTCTCCTTAGACTAAACATTCTGAAGACACGGTGGACAGTAGAGGACCACATGCATGGGGGGGGGGGGGGGGGTTCTAACCCCATGGTACTGATGAAATTGTGGAGACGCTTTTAGTTTTACAGTCCGGTTGTGGATGTGACTTAGTGTACACACTCAGCAAACTTAACACTTGCTAATATGAATGACACACACACACACACTCACACACACACACACACACACACACACTGAGTGCTTGTGGCCCCCAGGGGCCCAGCTGCATTGATCGAACTCTCAGTGTAATCAGAGACGCTGCTTTTGTTTTTAGACTGAAAGTGGGAGGGGAGAGAGAGAGAGAGAGAGGTGGCACTGCAGCAAATCACGCATTAACAACACAGAACAGCAACACTCAAACACACTCATCTGTAATCCAGAAGATCTCGCGTTTTGAATGTACACACACACACACACACACACACACACACTCACACACACACACACACACACACACACGCACACACACACACACACACAGCTTTGTTTGGAATCTGGTGCAAAACTTCATGTCACTAATTCATTGAACGGTGAACCTGATCTAAGAGACGGACTAGTGCACATCCAGGTGTTGTAACTGCGATGGTGACGGTGCACAGCTGATGAAAACTCCACATTCAAATCTCACACTATTGGAAAACTGTGAAAAGGTTCTAGACTCAAAGTGTCGCGCTCTAATCAGCTGATGAATCCAGAACACCTGCAGAGGGTTCCTGATTCTTCAGACCAGTGGTGGGCAAGTCCAGTCATCGAGGGCCGGTGTTCTGAGAAAACGTCCTACCCGTAGGATAATTTACGTGTTTTACACAAACCCCAACCCAAAAAATCAAGTATCAACGTCAGTAAAAAGTACTAATACTTACTACTTACCTATTTTCCTGCAAATATGACAGCGGAGTAGCATTCCCTTTTTGTGTTGTGCACATGCTCAGGAACAACGAGTAGGATGGTTTACCGGGTAGGAGAAATTCCCAGAACACCGCTATCCAGCACGTTTTAGTGGTTTCTCTGCTCCGACACGCTTGATTCACCTGTTCAGCTGCTCATCAGGCTCTGCGGAAGCCTGTTAATCGCCCGCTGTTTCAAATCAGGAGTTTTGAAACGGGGAAAACACTAAAACATGTAGGATAGCGGCCGCCGAGGACCAGGATTGCCCATCCCTGCTTTAGATGGTCTCTCAGTCTGAAAATGGACTTTTGCACCGGATTCAGATTTTTACAGTTTCATCTGGATGTTTGTTTGTTTGTGTGTTTATTGACCATATGCAGGAGTCAGAACCAACCCGTCCAGGAGACACAGGTGATGGAGGAACCAGGATCTCGTGATGGGGGGGGGGGGGGGGGTTTATCTTCATAATCTGTTTCTTTGTTCCTGTTTTTTTTACACAGTTTAGTAAAAATAATATTTACTTGACAAGTTTCGACAAATGCAAGTCAAGGGGAGGCTGATCATGTGGTTCTGATCCAGAAGAACAGTTCTGTGTTGTTATGGTCTGGGTTCTTCTGTGAGCAGAACAAAGCGGATCCGGGCCGCGTGACAGTCAGGTGTGACAGAACCTCTGCAGAATCCTCATGACATATTTAAGCTGACTGAATTCATGAATTACTGATGAAACCAGCTCTCATCTGCAGGAGTTTGGCCCGGCCCGACCCAGTCTGGCCCCTCTAGCTCAGCCCGGCCCGGTTCCTTAGCTTCTCGGGTTCTCTGGCAAACAAAGCATCCTCAGGCTTGTCTCTCAGAACCACACGGCCACTTTGGTTCTGTCTTTCAGTTAAGATCCAGATTTAGCAAAGGTCCAGTTTCACAGAGAACCGGGTCGTTCAGCCAGCTACACGGTCTCCTCTCCATGAACTCTCTGGACCTCTGGGAGCTCCTCGCCTGTCTGGGAATGTCATTCACATTCAGATGGAAAACTTCACACATTCCTGATTCCCCACTTTCTCAGGATCACCCTCTTGTTCTATCTCTCCATCCCTCTCTCCATCCCTCTCTCCATCCCTCTCTCCATCCCTCTTCCCACACTGAAATATTAATGAAGTTCCAAAGACGGAGCGTGTCTCCTCCTCGGATCGATTTGTCCTCTCCTCTCCATCTTCATCCCAACTCTCCGGTGTCAGGAGGAAAACTTGGATCTGAATCCAGCTGCAGAAAAAAGAAGTTCTGAGAGGTGAAGATGGTGTGTGTGTGTGTGTGTGTGTGTGTGTGTGTGTGTGTGTGTGTGTGCGTGTGTGTGTGTGTGTTGGGTCACCCCAGGTCACACACTCACATGCTAACAGTGATTAGCTACATCTTCACCACATCGACAGGCTGGGAGTAGAGCGGAGCTGCTCCTCCTCCTCACTGAGGAGTCATCTGAGGAGGCTCAGGGATCTCACTAGGACACCTACTGCTCTCCTCCCTCTGGAGGCTTGGCCCCTCCCACTTGGAGGAGAGTCGCTGGAAGACCCACAACTGCAGTGATCATCCACCTCTCTGCTCCAGGAGGATTCCTGGAAGGAGCTGAGGAGGAGGCCTGGTCTTCTCTCCTGGACCTGATCCTGGATCAGCAGAAGAACAGAATGAGACGTGCAGGTTGTGTGACTGAACGTGAAGCTGAAGACCTTCAGAACCCGAAGGCAGAACTTCTGAAGTTGTCTGCATCAGCGTGTGTTTGTGTGTGTGTGTGTGTGTGTGTGTGTGTGTGTGTGTGTGTGTGTGTGTGTGTGTGAGAGTGGGGGGGCGTGTGTATTTTTCATGTTTCAGCCCATTAGGATAAATAATGCAGATGAGACTTTCAGCTGTTGGATCACTTTTCCTTTCTCCGGGCACTTATTCGGGTTTCAGACTCACATCACCAGAACCAGAACCAGAACCTCCCTCCCAAGAGTCTGGTCCATCTGAGGGAGCTCCTGTGTGAGAAAAGCACTGAACAGAACCAGAACCGGTCCAGAAGCAGAACCGGCCTGAGTGTACTGTCTCTTTAAGTCTTCAGTCAGCCAGACGTGACGAAGCAGATTAAAGAATAAAGTCAGAGTTAAAGTTTAAATAAGTGTGTGTGTGTGTGTGTATGTGTATATGTGTGTGCGTGTGTGTGTATGTGTATATGTGTGTGCGTGTGTGTATGTGTATATGCGTGTGTGTGTGTGTGAGTGTGTGTATGTGTATATGAGTGTGTGTGTGTGAGTGTGTGTGTGTGTATGTGTATATGCGTGTGTGTGTGTGTGTATGTGTATATGTGTGTGCGTGTGTGAGTGTGTGTGTGTGTATGTGTATATGAGTGTGTGTGTGTGTATGTGTATATGCGTGTGTGTGTGTGTGTATGTGTATATGTGTGTGCGTGTGTGTATGTGTATATGCGTGTGTGTGTGTGAGTGTGTGTGTGTGTATGTGTATATGAGTGTGTGTGTGTGCGTGTGCGTGTGCGTGTGTGTATGTGTATATGCGTGTGTGTGGGTGAGTGTGTGTGTGTGTATGTGTATATGAGTGTGTGTGTGTGCGTGTGTGTATATGAGTGTGTGTGTGTGCGTGTGTGTATATGCGTGTGTATGTGAGTGTGAGTGCATGTGTATATGAGTGTGTGTGTGTGTGTGTGTGCGTGTGTATGTGAGTGTGAGTGCATGTGTATATGAGTGTGTGTGTGTGTGTGTGTATATGCGTGTGTATGTGTATATGCGTGTGTATGTGAGTGTGAGTGCATGTGTATATGAGTGTGTGTGTGTGTGTGTATATGCGTGTGTATGTGTATATGTGTGTGTATGTGAGTGTGAGTGCATGTGTATATGAGTGTGTGTGTGCGTGTGTGTATATGCGTGTGTATGTGTATATGTGTGTGTATGTGAGTGTGAGTGCATGTGTATATGAGTGTGTGTGTGTGTGTGTGTATATGCGTGTGTATGTGTATATGCGTGTGTATGTGAGTGAGAGTGCATGTGTATATGAGTTTGTGTGTGTGTGTATATGCGTGTGTATGTGTATATGCGTGTGTATGTGAGTGTGAGTGCATGTGTATATGAGTGTGTGTGTGCGTGTGTGTATATGCGTGTGTATGTGTATATGTGTGTGTATGTGAGTGTGAGTGCATGTGTATATGAGTGTGTGTGTGTGTGTGTGTGTGTGTGTATATGCGTGTGTATGTGTATATGCGTGTGTATGTGAGTGTGAGTGCATGTGTATATGAGTGTGTGTGTGTGTGTGTGTATATGCGTGTGTATGTGTATATGTGTGTGTATGTGAGTGTGAGTGCATGTGTATATGAGTGTGTGTGTGCGTGTGTGTATATGCGTGTGTATGTGTATATGTGTGTGTATGTGAGTGTGAGTGCATGTGTATATGAGTGTGTGTGTGTGTGTGTATATGCGTGTGTATGTGTATATGCGTGTGTATGTGAGTGTGAGTGCATGTGTATATGAGTGTGTGTGTGTGTGTGTGTGTATATGCGTGTGTATGTGTATATGCGTGTGTATGTGAGTGTGAGTGCATGTGTATATGAGTGTGTGTGTGTGTGTGTGTGTATATGCGTGTGTATGTGTATATGCGTGTGTATGTGAGTGTGAGTGCATGTGTATATGAGTGTGTGTGTGTGTGTGTGTGTATATGCGTGTGTATGTGTATATGCGTGTGTATGTGAGTGTGAGTGCATGTGTATATGAGTGTGTGTGTGCGTGTGTGTATATGCGTGTGTATGTGTATATGTGTGTGTATGTGAGTGTGAGTGCATGTGTATATGAGTGTGTGTGTGTGTGTGTGTGTGTGTATATGCGTGTGTATGTGTATATGCGTGTGTATGTGAGTGTGAGTGCATGTGTATATGAGTGTGTGTGTGTGTGTGTGTATATGCGTGTGTATGTGTATATGTGTGTGTATGTGAGTGTGAGTGCATGTGTATATGAGTGTGTGTGTGCGTGTGTGTATATGCGTGTGTATGTGTATATGTGTGTGTATGTGAGTGTGAGTGCATGTGTATATGAGTGTGTGTGTGTGTGTGTGTATATGCGTGTGTATGTGTATATGCGTGTGTATGTGAGTGTGAGTGCATGTGTATATGAGTGTGTGTGTGTGTGTGTGTGTGTGTGTGTATATGCGTGTGTATGTGTATATGCGTGTGTATGTGAGTGTGAGTGCATGTGTATATGAGTGTGTGTGTGTGTGTGTGTGTATATGCGTGTGTATGTGTATATGCGTGTGTATGTGAGTGTGAGTGCATGTGTATATGAGTGTGTGTGTGTGTGTGTGTGTGTGTGTGTATATGCGTGTGTATGTGTATATGCGTGTGTATGTGAGTGTGAGTGCATGTGTATATGAGTGTGTGTGTGTGTGTGTGTATATGCGTGTGTATGTGTATATGCGTGTGTATGTGAGTGTGAGTGCATGTGTATATGAGTGTGTGTGTGCGTGTGTGTATATGCGTGTGTATGTGTATATGTGTGTGTATGTGAGTGTGAGTGCATGTGTATATGAGTGTGTGTGTGCGTGTGTGTATGTGTGAGTGTGTGTGTTTTGTTTGACCTATTTCTTCAGTGAATTGTTTCTTTAATGTGACCTTTGACCCCTGCAGATGACAGACCAGAAAAAACAACCACAGATTCACCCCCGCACTCGCACCCCAGTCCAGGACTCCTGATCCTGATCCCGATCCTCCTTCCCGCTCCAAAGACTCCAGAACATCAGAAATTCTGGAGAAGCATCTTTCAGCGCAAACAAGACCCTGGACTGGATCACGTTGGGATCCACATCTGAACTTCTGAAGAAGTGAACCAATAAAACGTTTGGCTACATTTAACTTGAAGAATCAAAAGTTTTGAATAAAATCTAAAGAAGACAAGCGAGACTCAAGCCAGGAACAAACGGAGAGAGAAACTGAGAGAAGAGAGGGATGACGGAGGGGAGGGTCGAGCGAGCAAATGGAAGGAGGAGCCAGAGGAAGAGGAGGGATGACAGGAGATGTGGTTGTTGCCGCGGTAGCAGAGCAGGACAGATCTGAGACCGTGCAACAAGCCCCCTTCTCTTTGTTTTTTATTCTTTTCCCTCCTTCGTCCTGCGCTCGACTTCCTGTTTCCACCTGGAAAAGCTGCTTCTTCCTCCTCTTCATCCCCTCAGCTCCTTCAGCACCGGCAGCCGCGGTAAGTAGGATGGAAACTGCTCCAGATACACAGCTGAGAATAGAAAGAGAGGAAGGGAAGAAGGGAGTGGAGAAGTTGGGCAGAGGATGGGGGGGGGGGGGGGGGGGGGGGCAAACTTGGACTAAAGAAAACACGAGTTACAGGTCAGAGACACAGGGACGTGTGTGTGTGTGTGTGTGTGTGTGTGTGTGTGTGTGTGTGTGTGTGTGTGTGTGTGTGTTGGTTAAAAGCAAACACACGGAACTTCATCACTAATTCATCCTCTGGATTACGTCAACTTCAACACACACACACACACACACACACACACACACACACACACACACACACACACACACACGTGAACACACACCCCTCTTTAATATTCACACACCACTCCTTTCACTGTCCAATAGAAAGCACTTATTAATGATTCACATGTTTCATCGTCTCAAACTTGGTCCAGGTAGTCCTAGACCTGCAGGTCCTGGTGGTCCTGGTGGTTCTGGTAGTCCTAGACCTGCAGGTCCTGGTGGTTCTGGTGGTTCTGGTAGTCCTAGACCTGCTGGTCCTGGTGGTCCTGGTGGTTCTGGTAGTCCTAGACCTGCAGGTCCTGGTGGTCCTGGTGGTTCTGGTAGTCCTAGACCTGCTGGTCCTGGTGGTCCTGGTGGTTCTGGTAGTCCTAGACCTGCTGGTCCTGGTGGTCCAGGTTGTCCTAGACCTGCTGGTCCTGGTGGTTCTGGTAATCCTAGACCTGCTGGTCCTGGTGGTTCTGGTAGTCCTAGACCTGCTGGTCCTGGTGGTCCAGGTTGTCCTAGACCTGTTGGTCCTGGTCGTCCTGGTAGTCCTAGACCTGCTGGTCGTGGTCGTCCTGGTAGTCCTAGACCTGCTGGTTCTGGTGGTCCAGGTTGTCCTGGTAGTCCTAGACCTGCTGGTCGTGGTCGTCCTGGTAGTCCTAGACCTGCTGGTTCTGGTGGTCCAGGTTGTCCTGGTAGTCCTAGACCTGCTGGTCGTGGTCGTCCTGGTAGTCCTAGACCTGCTGGTTCTGGTAGTCCTAGACCTGCTGGTCCTGGTAAATCTGGTGGTCCTGGTGGTCCAGGTTGTCCTAGACCTGTTGGTCCTGGTCGTCCTGGTAGTCCTAGACCTACTGGTTCTGGTGGTCCAGGTTGTCCTGGTAGTCCTAGACCTGCTGGTCCTGGTGGTTCTGGTAGTCCTAGACCTGCTGGTCGTGGTCGTCCTGGTAGTCCTAGACCTGCTGGTTCTGGTGGTCCAGGTTGTCCTGGTAGTCCTAGACCTGCTGGTCCTGGTGGTTCTGGTAGTCCTAGACCTGCTGGTCCTGGTAAATCTGGTGGTTCTGCCCTCTGGGTTTCTTATTTGTTCTCAGAACCGTTTCTAAACTTGGTCCAGTTTCTGGATCAGTTGCAGGTTTTATCAGGCAGAGGAGCAGAGGAGAACTTTCTGCTCCTGCTGCGGGACATGGGAGGAGGACGGGTTTTGGTTCTGAGCAGCTGTTCCTGAGCTCAGGGTTCCGTTAGTTCTTCTGGTTACATCATCCCTGATTAAACCAAACATACAACGGGCGGTGGACCAGAACCTTTGTGGTGCCAAGCGGGATGGTAACTGCTGACGTAGAATCAGGTCCTGTGGATAGTTCACGTGGAGGAACATGAGAGGTGGGGGTTCTATCAGAGCTCCGTGGAACGCCACAGAACCAGTCTGAACTGGATCCAGACTCTCAAAAAGACAAGTTGTCAAACTAAATGATCCTGGACGACCCGCCAGAGTTCTGACCATCTGGTTCTGAATGCTTGGCTCTTGTGTCTAAATGACTCCGATGTCCTGATGTCTGTCTGACCGGTTCTGGAGTTCAGTCGTTACTAAGACAACCCAATGGGACCAGAACCGGATATCTGACCCGGTCCTGGTCCAAATCAGAATCCAGAAGCACAGAAGCTTTTCTCTAAAAGACCGGTGTACTCCTCTTGGCTCCGAGAGTTGTCGTTCAAGCACTAAGGATGCTGGCGGACGTTTCCATGGAAACCAGACTGATGAGAGATGACCGTTTAAAAAAAGACCAGAACTGGACATCTGGTCCCCACGGTTCTGGATAACATTCCAGGATTCTGGATTGTTTTTCAGCTGTTCTGAAGCAAACCCTAACTCAAACCGACCAACGGCAGCAGGACGGGTCAGAACCGGTCCTGGTACCATCTCAGTCATCAGATGTTTACTGAGTTTCCATTAAAGCAGAACTTCCATCTGAGCTGACACCAGGTTCTTGGCGGAACTTTTAATCACTGGAGAACATCTGGATCACAGAATTCTTCTGAATGAGCCTGACATCAGAACCAGAACTGAACTCCAGGTCCAGATTTAAGGAGGCATCCTCCAGGGTTCTGACCAGAACCCAGAGAATTCATTCTTTATCCCTTCTTTGCAGCCGGATCCTCCCAGGAGGGCTGGACCAGAACCGGGCTCTAGGCACAGACAGACTGTCCTAAACAGACGGGTTCTGTTCACGTTGTTCTGGTGCTTTTGTGGGCTGACTGGGTCCAGCAGCTTCCTGTTGTGGTGTGTGTGTGTGTGTGTGTGTGTGTGTGTGTGTGTGTGTGTGTGTGTGTGTGTGTGTGTGTGTGTGTGTGTGTGTGTGTGTGTGTGTGTGTGTGTGTGTGTGTGTGTGTGTGTGTGTGCTGCAGTGGTGCTGATTGTCTAATGGTGCCATACTCAGCCCACTAATACCCAGGAAGGCTCTGAAGAACCGCTGCTGTAACTGAGCCTGAAATCAGAGTTCTGACCCGACCCGTCTCCGACCTGAAGGTCAGAGAAACAGAACCGGATATTTTAGGGAACATAAAACAAATACAGAAAGAACCATCTAAATATACAGTTATTTAAAGAAACTGGGTCAGACTACAAACATCCTAAAAGTCCAGTGGACCTCCAGAACCTGCTGTACCTCCTATTGGCCCGGTACTGATGCAGGACCGATCCGTGATCCGGTGACCTCTGTCACCTAATGTTCAACTTCAGTAAAACTAAAGATCTGGTTTTTAAAACGGGTTCTGAATTGGGTTCTTTTGGGCCTGAGCTCTTGTGCTTCACCTCTTAATGTGGACCAAAGATCCATTCCCTCTGCAGACGTTTGGAACAACAAACAGAACATCTGAACTGGACCGGTTTATTCACGATTCAGTCAGCAGAACCAATGAGTTCTGCTCCCAGTAGTTGGATGTTTAAACTCCATATACAAACTCCACGTAACCATAAGGAGAACATGCTAACTCCCCTCCTGCATGTGTAGAACATGAAAACTCCATGTACACATGTGTAGAACATGAAAACTCCATGTACACATGTGTAGAACATGCTAACTTCATGTACACATGTGTAGAACATGAAAACTCCATGTACACATGTGTAGAACATGCTAACTTCATGTACACATGTGTAGAACATGAAAACTCCATGTACACATGTGTAGAACATGCTAACTTCATGTACACATGTGTAGAACATGCTAACTTCATGTACACATGTGTAGAACATGAAAACTCCATGTACACATGTGTAGAACATGCTAACTTCATGTACACATGTGTAGAACATGAAAACTCCATGTACACATGTGTAGAACATGCTAACTTCATGTACACATGTGTAGAACATGCTAACTTCATGTACACATGTGTAGAACATGAAAACTCCATGTACACATGTGTAGAACATGCTAACTTCATGTACACATGTGTAGAACATGAAAACTCCATGTACACATGTGTAGAACATGCTAACTTCATGTACACATGTGTAGAACATGAAAACTCCATGTACACATGTGTAGAACATGCTAACTTCATGTACACATGTGTAGAACATGAAAACTCCATGTACACATGTGTAGAACATGCTAACTTCATGTACACATGTGTAGAACATGCTAACTCCATGTACACATGTGTAGAACATGCTAACTCCATGTACACATGTGTAGAACATGCTAACTTCATGTACACATGTGTAGAACATGCTAACTCCATGTACAGATGTGTAGAACATGCTAACTTCATGTACACATGTGTAGAACATGCTAACTCCCCCCATGCATGTGTAGAACATGCTAACTCCCCTCATGCATGTGTAGAACATGCTAACTCCATGTACACATGAGTAGAACATGCTAACTTCATGTACACATGTGTAGAACATGCTAACTCCATGTACACATGTGTAGAACATGCTAACTTCATGTACACATGTGTAGAACATGCTAACTCCATGTACACATGTGTAGAACATGAAAACTCCATGTACACATGTGTAGAACATGCTAACTTCATGTACACATGTGTAGAACATGCTAACTCCATGTACACATGTGTAGAACATGCTAACTTCATGTACACATGTGTAGAACATGCTAACTTCATGTACACATGTGTAGAACATGCTAACTCCATGTACACATTTGTAGAACATGAAAACTCCATGTACACATGTGTAGAACATGCTAACTTCATGTACACATGTGTAGAACATGCTAACTCCATGTACACATGTGTAGAACATGCTAACTTCATGTACACATGTGTAGAACATGAAAACTCCATGTACACATGTGTAGAACATGCTAACTTCATGTACACATGTGTAGAACATGCTAACTTCATGTACACATGTGTAGAACATGCTAACTCCCCTCATGCATGTGTAGAACATGCTAACTCCCCCATGCATGTGTAGAACATGCTAACTCCCCCATGCATGTGTAGAACATGCTAACTCCCCTCATGCATGTGTAGAACATGCTAACTCCATGTACACATGTGTAGAACATGCTAACTCCATGTACACATGTGTAGAACATGCTAACTCCCCTCATGCATGTGTAGAACATGCTAACTCCCCCCATGCATGTGTAGAACATGCTAACTCCCCCATGCATGTGTAGAACATGCTAACTCCCCTCATGCATGTGTAGAAGATGCTAACTCCCCCCATGCATGTGTAGAACATGCTAACTCCCCCATGCATGTGTAGAACATGCTAACTCCTCTCATGCATGTGTAGAAGATGCTAACTCCCCCCATGCATGTGTAGAACATGCTAACTCCCCTCATGCATGTGTAGAAGATGCTAACTCCCCCCATGCATGTGTAGAACATGCTAACTCCCCTCATGCATGTGTAGAAGATGCTAACTCCCCCCATGCATTTGTAGAACATGCTAACTCCCCCCATGCATGTGTAGAACATGCTAACTCCATGTACATATGTGTATAGAACATGCTACCCCCACACATGTGTGGGGAGAACATGCTAACTCCAGACGTTTGTATTTAATCCTGCAACCTTCTCACTGCAGGGCTATGGGGTTACCAACCCTCCGCCACGCAGCTGAACCGTTCCTGGACCTCAGACCTACTGCTTGATTTTCAAGGCCAGAAATCCACCAGAACCCTCGAGTTCAGGGTTGCTTTAGGACCAGCTGAAGTACTGAGGCGTTAATGCTCAGATGAAGGTTCTGCTTGGTTCAGTCGTGGAAAATTCACCTGCAGAAACGAAACGAAGAGGATAAACAAACCTGCCGGTGCTGGTTCTGGTCAGTCCAGGGCTCAACTCAGTGGTACCACTGCCTCCACGATAGAGGAAACAGGGATTTTGAAGATATTTCACTTTTTATCTAACTTACAAGAATTAATAACAAATTAATTTCTAATGAAATAATAATAGTAAACATCTCAGGGACTACAAAATTTTACTATTTTTGTTTTTACCAAGAAGAAAACGTTTAGAATAAAAAAAAAAATGAAAATGTTGTTATCAAAATATCATAAAACCAGGAAGTCATTTCATATTTTTATACAGTAATAGTAATATTAATAATGACAATAAATAATAATAATATAGTCATAATAGTAATAATAATAATAAAATAATAGTAATAGTAATATTAATAATGATAATAATAAATAATAATAGTAATAATAATAATAATCCATCCATCCATTATCCGAACCTGCTTTGTCCACGCAGGGTCGCGTGGGGGGGGGGTCCCGGGCTGAGGGGGGGGGGGGGCTGTTTGAATAATCCATGCGACAGATCCAGGTTCTCCTGATATTCCTGCTGATATCCTGATTGATCCTTCTGGATTCAACTGTTGTGTCTGACTTGAATCCGGAGTAAAAATCCATGAGATCCGAGGAATGACTCACGCCTCTGAGCCTCGTTGATCCACATCCAACTTCTGTTTTTACTCATCAGCCGACAGGAAGCATGAAGCTCTGAGGCGTTACGTGTCAACTCCTCCAGACTGATCTGGACCGGCTGCACCAGATTTAGTGAAAGCAGAACTTTTGTGGTTCTGGTCCAGATGAAGCCGCAGAGGCAGGTGCACGGTGGGATTAAAAGGAGAGTTCTGATGTGAGGTGACTTCGGGGATAGAAAACGGGAGGTTCTGAGCTGCTCTCTGAAGGCTTCAGACACGTCTGTGTCCCGGACCCAGAACCAGAACCCGGATCTTCTGTTTGTTCTCCTTCTTCATCCTTAAGTGTTTGAAAACCAGATGATTAAATCTGCTAATTTTACAATCCTCCCTAACTCTAATCCCTTGTGGATTTGGGTGGACAACTCTTCATTGTGCAGCAGGACAGCAGCGCTGTCCGTCACACATGACACTTCCCCTCTCAACTCCAGGTGTGCTCAGGTGAAGTTAATGCTTGACCTTTGACCCTTGGGGTCGTTGAGATCGATGAACACATGAACATTTCTGATTTCACTCAGGAATGTGAGGATGAACTGGTTCATTCTGATTCCCAGATGCACGTGACATTGAGTGGACCGTACACCTCTGCTGGGCGGAGCTTGTCCTCATTTGGACCCGCCCCCTGTTCCCTGCGACAGCGCTGTGATTGGACTGTGGATAATCCCCGCTTTGATGCTGTTTGGATCCAGATCAGGTCGTTTCCGTTGTTTGATCAGATGAGACCTCTGGAAGTCTCCTGAGACTCTCTGCGTCCGACTCTTCTTCTGCTGCCGCTCTTGTTGTTTGGTGTTTTTCTCATTAGTGACGCCTGCTGTTTAACAGGAGAACTGCAATCTAAACGCGTTTTCCTCTCTGATCAACTGATCTCACAGAAGAAAGCAGGTAATCGTGTGTTTTGGGATGGAAACACATTCAGCTCCGGAGTTCCCGACAGGTTGGAAGCAGTCTGATTCCCTCTCGAACCCTTTCTGAGGTTTTTACTGACAGGAGACCAGCTTTTATCATGTCGTCTTCCCTTTCTGTCTTGGATTGTTGGGAATCGTATGATCCAACCCTAAAATCCGGACGGATGGGACTTGGCTGGTCTCGGACCAGATGAGGCTCAAAACAACATTTTCTATTCCTTCATTTCTTCCCTTTTGTTTAGTTTCATTGTTGATCCGACACCTTCTCCTCCCTTTCTGTCATCGGATTTGTTCCTAATCCCTCTTTTCCTTTCTACTTCCTGTGTGTCACGTCTCCACTCGTGAACACTATCACATCCTCCCAATCCCAGTTTTAGTTTTCTCCCTTTTCTTTGTCTTCTAAATGAACTTTTCCACTCGTCTTTCCTAATCGTATTCCTTCTCCTCATCAGTTTTCCCTCTCCACCGCTGCCGCCCGTCTCCTCCTCCCGTTCTCCCTGGTTTCTGTCTCACTCTGTCTCTGTTGTGTTTTTTGACAGGACGGCCTTACATGGACACTCCGTGATGCTCCCTGAGGTTCGCCAGAGGAGCCGGGAGGAGCAGGAGCTGAAAGAGGAGGAGGCTGCGGACCCATAATCTCCGGAGCAGAGATCACTTAGAGGCGGCGAGGCAACCGTTCTGTCTATGCTGCAACTTCAGGGAGCATCATCACAATTTAATAAGAGTCTGAGAGACGAGCAGGAGTCGCGCCTCCTTTTGCTCCTTTAACTCCTTCCTTCCTGGATCAGAAATCCCGCAGCAATAAGCAGCCTTATTAAAACAGCTCTTATTAATCTGAGACTTTGTTGTTTGGAGGCAAACAGAACCCGTTCCGTCGTCTCGTCTTTAACATTAATGGACACAAAAAGGCATTTTCACCCTGAGCAGCGTCTTGCAGGACTTAACTCCGTAGAAAACTGCAGAGTTGCAGACTTCCTGTCTCGACTGAACTCTTCTGATTTTTCATGGCTTGACACCCGCTGACCTCTGACCCTTAGCCCCCTCCCTGAATCCTCCTCCAACATGTCCGGCCGTCCCGTCTCTCACTGCACCAGGGAATCCGACCAAGTGGCGTGAAGCCAAGCCTTACCTCAGACTCATTAGCTCCACCTTGCTCCTGCCTTGCTGCCCCCAGGAAAAAACCTTCAGCTTCAGGTCAGACTCTCTAATCCAAGATGGCGGCTGGCGTAGCAACATGGCTGCCATTCGCACGGGCGGCGGCTGTAGGCTGGTTGCCGCTGGCCAAAAAGACGATGCCCAAACCTCCAGTGGACAACTCATCCAGATCTGACGAGATCCTGTACGTCAACGTCAGCGGAGTCAGGTTTCAGGTGGGTCTCCTGAGCATGCTTCAAAAGTGGGCGGGGCTAATGTCTGAATGTGTTTGACTGTTATTAAGTCATGGCAGCACGATCCAACACAGCGCTGGTGGAGTCTGGGACTGGACCGGGTCACCTGGTTGTGACGCTCTTCAGCTCGTTTCTTCATCACTTCCTGTTTCCATCCCGACGACCTCTTGGGTCAGCCCGGTGATCCTCCACCCAGAACCCCCATCTCGTGACCCGAGAGTGTTTAAATGACCCAGATCGGGTCGCAACGGGAACCTGCAGAACCATGGACCAGTCCTGACCAATCAGAGGCCTTCTGCTCCTCCACACAAACAGCTGTCTCCTTTTGAGCTGCCGGTTTCAAACGATCAACATCCATCGCCGCTGAATCTATTCTTAAAGCAAATTATATTTAGAAGAAACAAAAATCTGTTTTTAGATGAAAGATTTCTCCTCTAATGACATCAAGGCTCAGCTTTGTGTTTCTGGTGTCATCAGAAACGCGTCAGCAGCTCCACGTCCTGCAGATTCAAAGGAATCCAGGATAAATTCAGTTAAACTCGGAATAAATGCTGAGGCGTGATATTCCAGCGGCGAGCGGAGCTGCTGACGCCGCAGCAGATCACCTTCAGTCACCCGGAGGGCGGATGGTCCCGTCTCTGGTTCAGATGCCTCCTGCTTCAGGAGGAGCTGTGTGGGGCTGAAGCTCCTCTAACCAACACCAGCTCGTTCGTCTGGTCTGCCCGGGTCCGTCCTGCTGAGTCACAGAACCGCCTGGTCCAACCTGGGGACGGAGGCGGTTTGAGCCAAAGGCTCCATTATTCCTTCATCTATAAATAAAGAGGCGCCATCGCTTTAAACCACTTCTGATTATTTAGCAATAACGTCACCTCGCTGTGGAGATCAGGTCTCAGTTTTATTAGACGAATTATTGGCCTGGGTTTGGATCCGAGTCTAGCCGGGTCCACCCAGGTCCACGTGGGTCCTGCTGGGTCCATCAGATGGAGGTAGACTCCGGTGAGGACGAAGCGGTTTAATGAAGAAACGATGAAGACGTCTGTCTCTCTCGGCATCAGCATTAAGGATGTTGGTTAGATGTCTAAGCTCCACCCGCTGACTGGTTCTGGGCTGTGATTGGATCTGGTCGGCTCATGTAGGACTATGTAGTAGCCTCTAGAGACCTTACTCCACATGAGACCCGACGAGAAGCTGGACCATCTACGGTCCTGTCAGCATCAGGTAGAAGAATCCACATTCCACCCGACGTAGAACAGGTTCTGCTGTCCTGAGTTCTGCTCCAGAGGACGCAGATCTTCAGAAGAACCTGGAGATCTGAGCATTTAATCATGACTGGTTCCTGCAGAACAGGAGGACGGAGGTGATGGAACGAAACCAGACAGCGTTACTGTTCCTGAGTCTTGATTGTTCCCGTCTCACGTCAGCTCCCTTCAGGAGGCACCTGCTGACCTTCAGGTGGTGAGTCCTCATCAGAGTGACTCAGTGCGCCCCAGGGCAGCTGTGGCTCCACCGTGGCTCGTCCCCACCAGCGTGTGAATGGATGAATGATTGTGTTGTGAAGCGCCTTGGGGGGTTGTAGAACCCTGAGAAGGTGTTTCCCATCCTGACTAAAAACATCTCCTGATTTGTGCCGCAGACGTGGAAGAACACGCTGGACCGCTACCCCGACACGCTGCTGGGCTCCTCGGAGAAGGAGTTCTTCT